GTGGAGCAGGCCAGTGAGGCTGTATACAAACTCACTGAATCAGGTAGGGACCTCACGGACGAGGGGCAGTATGCACAACCATTGGTGCCACCCCAGCTCTCAGTAATGCAGGGGCTGCTGGGTGCTTCCTGCAAATCCCAGAGAGGGCAGAAGACAGCTACTGTTGATTCATTAATTCTTCCAGTAAATGTTGACTGAGTACCTACTTTCATCATGTGCTAGGTGTTGGGGATATGGCTCAGTAGGTTAATGTTTGCCCTGCTCTTATGGACCAGTGTTTTAGCAAGAAAGGTGGATACGAAACAGGTGATTCAGGTGATTCATGGGGCAATGAAGGGAGTGATCTCCCACAGCAGGAACATGAGCCTTTATCTGGGGTCAGAGGAGGCCAAATGACATAAACAGAGGGATAAGGAGGATTTGGTCAGACCAGTAGGTGGGCCAGAGCAAATAGTATGAATGAGGGCCTGAAAGGAAGCAGCCTGGGATATAGGGGAATGGAAGGAAGCCCATACCCTACTCCCCGCTCCTATGGAGGAAAGACACTGAGGCTACCGTGAGGTGTAGCTGGATGGCAGATGGCAGGTTAGGGGCAGACTGCAGGGCCTAGTGGGCAGCATGGAGTTTGGACTTTATTCTAGGAATCCTGGGAAGATACCTAAGGGTTTTAAGCAAGGGCAGCATGCCTCCACTCCCCTTTGATGGCCATATGTGTCCATCTGATGCCCTCTTCCCTGCCTGCTTGGCAGGGTCTTCTCTGGGGAAAAAGGTGGCAGGTGCCCTGCAGACCATTGAGACCGCCCTGGCTCAGTACAGCCTCACCCAGCTCTGTGTGGGCTTCAACGGGGGCAAAGACTGTACCGCCCTTCTGCACCTCTTCCATGCAGCTGTGCAGAGGTGAGCCTGCTCCCTGGGAGACAAGACCCCTGATCTGTCTCTTTCTCCAGTTCCACATCCCAGAAAGAAAGGATAAAGGGGGTAGATGGGCGGGGTTCAGGAGGGAGATAGCCATGGTGACCTCTCAGTTACATTCTCCCACCATATTGAGCATATGATATGTGCCTGGCCTTGTGTATGGACGTGCAGGCCACCATCCCTGACCACAGGGAGGTCACAGTCCCGCTGGGGAGATGAGAGATTTACATAACCTGAAACAAGGATGCATGCTTAGATTTAAGAGGTGAGAGTTCAAGCGCCAGGCACGATGGCTCATGCCTATAATCTGCCAGGCACGGTGGTGCGTGCCTGTAGTCCCAGCTACTTGGGAGACTAAGGTGGGAGGATCACTTGAGCCCAGGAGTTCTGGGCTGTAGTGCACTATGCAGATTGGGTGTCCACACTAAGTTCGGCATCAGTATGGTGACCTCCTGGGAGCTGGGGACCACCAGGTTGCCTAAGGAGGGGTGAACCAGCCCAAGTCAGAAACGGAGCATGTCAAAACTCCCGTGCTGATCAATAGTGCAGTCGCACCTGTGAATAGCCACTGCAGTCCAGCCTGGGCAACATAGCGAGACCCCATCTCTTAAAAAAAAAAAGAGGTGAGAGGTCAGAGTGGGCTTCCCAGAGGAAGTGGATCTAATGGATGGAAAGGACAAGGAAAAGGGAGAAGTGGGGTGAGTCTTTTCTTTGGGCCAAAGAGAACAGTGAACTGTTTCAGGAGAGCCATTTCCCTGTCCATGCTGGCAAGCCTGTGGATTCTTCCCCCTCCGCAGGAAATTACCTGATATTCCAGACCCCCTCCAGATCCTGTATATCCGCAGCATCTCCACTTTCCCTGAGCTGGAACAATTTCTACAGGACACCATCAAGAGGTACTAGGGGCCTGGAGGTTTGGGCTCCAAGAGAGGCTTAACAGAGCCCACTGCCAACCCCTACTTCTGTTTCTTCCTAAGGTATAATCTGCAGGTGTTGGAGGCTGAGGGCTGCATGAAGCAGGCCCTGGGTGAACTGCAGGCACGGTATCCCCAGCTAGAGGCTGTCCTGATGGGCACCCGCCGGACTGACCCCTACTCCTGTAGCCTCTGCCCTTTCAGCCCCACTGACCCAGGCTGGCCTTCGTTCATGCGCATCAACCCGCTGCTGGTAATGGGGAAGAGGGTGTATCACCTTCAGTTTCTCGCCCCATCAGTCACTGCACTCTGGCTTCCCTGCAGTAGTGGGGAGGCTAGAGCCTGGAACTTGGATGAAGGGGCCCCATCATCCAAGGGAGGCGATGCTGTCTGTTCATTCATCCTTTTGACCAATATTTATTGAGCCCAAATTCAGTAGCAGACATTGTGCTTTCTATGTGGACAGAAGAGTGACTTAGACCTGTACTGTCCAATGTAGCCACTAACAGTTTATTTATTCTTAAATTTTAATACCTATGACTAAAAACCACTGAATTATATCCTTTAAAAGGATGAATTTGATGGCATGTGGATACCTCAATTTTTTAAATTAAGTACAATGAAAAATTCAGTTCTGTGTGGGCCTGGTGGCTCACGCCTATAATGCCAGCACCATGGGAGGCCAAGGTTGGCTAATCACTTGACAAGGAGGTCAAGACCAGCCTGGCCAACATGGCAAAACCCCATCTCTGCTAAAAATACAAAATACTAGCCAGGCATGGTGGCACCTGCTTGTAGTCCCAGCTACCTGGGAGGCTGAGGCAGCAGAATGGCTTGAACCCAGGAGACAGAGGTTTCAGTGAGCTGAGATTGCACCATTGCACCTTTTGCGACAGAGCAACACTCTGTCTCAAAATAATAATAATACAGGCCAGGCAGGCGTGGTGGCTAACTCCTGTAATCCCTGCACTTTGGGAGGCTGAGGCGGGCAGATCGCCTGAGGTCAGGACATCAAGACCAGCCTGACCAACATGGTGAAACCCCACATCTACTAAAAATACTAAAATTAACCAGGTGTGGTGGCAGGCACCTGTAATCCCAGCTACTTGGGAGGCTGAGGCAGAAGAATCACTTGAACCTCGGGGGCAGAGGTTACAGTGAGCCTAGATGGCACCATTCTACTGCAGCCTGGGCAACAGAGAGACTCTGTCTCAAAAAAAAAAAAATAGTTATTAAGTTGTACTAGCCATATTTCAAGTGACCACCATATTAGACTATTAGCAGAAATATAGAACATTTCCCTCATCACAGAAAGTTCTGGCCAGGCACAGTGGCTCACACCTGTAATCCCAGCACTTTGGGAGGCTGAGGTGGGCTAAACAGTTGAGCCCAGGAGTTCAAGACCAGCCTAGGCAACATGGCAAAATCCTGTCTCTTAAAAAAAAAAAAAAAAAGCCAGGAGTGGTGGCACACGCCTATAGTCCTAGCTACTCAGGCTGAGGCAGGAAGATCACTGGAGCCAGGGAAGTCAAGGCTGCAGTGAGCCACGATTATGCCAGTGCACTCCAGCCTGGGCAACAGAAAAGACCCTCTCTCAAAAAAAATGAAATAAAGTAGACAGACATGCTCTCTCCCTGTCCTGGGGCTCCACCTTTGTAGTAGAGGGTGATTCGGGAATGGAAAGCAGAGAGCGGAGAAGATGAAGTCCTCTTTTTCTCTGCATATACAGAGCAAGCTATACCAGGGAATATGATAGCAAGCCCTCCCTCAGAAGCCAAGGGAGCAGACCGGGCATGGTGGCTCAAGTCTGTAATCCTTTTTTTTAGAGACAGAGTTTTGCTCTTGTTACCGAGGCTGGAGTGCAATGGTGCGATCTCAGATCACCACAACCTCCACCTTCTGGGTTCAAGCAGTTTTCCTGCCTCACCCTCCCAAGTAGCTGGGATTACAGGCACGCGCCACCATGCCCAGCTAACTTTTTGTATTTTTAGTAGAGACGGGGTTTCGCCATGTTGACCAGGATGGTCTCGATCTCTTGACCTCGTGATCCGCCCACCTCAGCCTCCCAAAGTGTTGGGATTACAGGTGTGAGCCACCGTGCCCAGCCACACCTGTAATCCTAACACGGCCAAGGTGGGTGGATCACCTGAGGTCAGGAGTTCAAAACCAGTCTGGCCATCATGGTGAAACCCCATCTTTTAAAAAAAAAAAAAAAAAAAGCCAAGGGAGCAGAAGACCTTGGATGGGCCCCTTCCCAGGACAACAGGGGTAGAAGTGGGAGAGGGGAGCATTTGTGACTATTCTATTATTCTGACCTCCCAGGACTGGACCTACAGAGACATCTGGGACTTCCTTCGTCAGCTGTTCGTCCCATACTGTATCCTGTATGACCGAGGGTAAGGGTGTTAGGGGAAGAGAATGGGTATGGGGGTTTGTTAGGGTGCTGGGATAGGGAGGGCCTCTAGGGTCGCCCACCCTAGCACATGCTTGCCCTCCACCCTCCCTGCTCCAGATACACATCGCTGGGGAGTCGGGAGAACACCGTGCGGAACCCAGCCCTGAAGTGCCAGAGCCCAGGAGGACGCCTCACCTACCGTCCAGCCTACCTACTGGAGAACGAAGAAGAGGAGCGGAACTCCCGCACTTGACCTCCCACCCTAGGAGGGAGGGAAGGAGGCTCTCCTAGGGTATAACCTGACAATAAACCGTGCCTCTCACTGTGTCTGTTGCTCTAGCTTGTGTATTCCTGTTGCAGAGGATGGGAGAAGCAGAAGTGGGTCAAATGCTGCCAGCTCTGACTGGCTATGCTCACTCTAAGGGGCCCAGGGGCAGGGCAGAACAGGTTGGAAAGAGCTCTCACTGATGGTTCTCAATGTCAGCCTCAGCAGGAGCCCACCAGAGGGCAGAAGCAGGAGTTGTGCCAACCACTGGAAAGGGGACAACCAGGCAGGGCACCACTGGGGCTGGAAGAGGAGGAGCTGCCTTGGCCTAGCTGTAGAAAATGAAAGTTGGAGTGGCCAAGCCCTCCCTTCCACTAACCCCACCCTCCCATCCCTGTCTAGAGAGGCTGACTCAGCCTGTTCCCAGGCCTAGAACCTTCCCTTTGCTAGACTCTGGATCCTTTGTCTCTGTAGTCATGAGGCTGAGTGGGGGGTGGGGACAGTGTTGATAAAAGGCACCAAAGGGAGCTCCCACACCCTTCCTCAGAACTGCTGCCCACATGCAGCCCCGGACACAGCCCCTTGCCCAAACGCTACCCTTCTCCTTCGGAGGTGCCCCTCAAGACACTGGGCTGCGGGTGCCTGTTATTAAGATGGGCACAGGGTGGGAGGGCTTCCAGCGGATCCTGAAGGAAGTCGCCTACATCCTCCTCTGCTGCTGGTGTGTCAAGGAACTGCTGGATTAATGGTGGCAGGGAACTGCCTCCTCTCCCCACCAGCACCATGGCTGGCATCGCTCAGGTGGGCTGGGTAAACAGGAGGCATAGCTGCAGCTTCTGTGGCAGAGCTTGCCTCAGCTTCCCATTCTCTTCTTTAGCCCTCAGCCCAACTGCCATCAAGACTTCTGGGGCCGGCTGTGCTTGACCAAGGATGGGCCATAAACAATGAGTAAAGAGTGACGTGTGGATCCTGCTTTGAGCTGTGTCATCTGGCAGATGTGCCTCGTCTCTGAGCCTCCCTTCCCAACCCCTGCCTTTGGTGGACCTCTGGTGGGCAGGAACTTGGACTGCTCTGGCTAGACCCCCATTGAGATTGCCACGGGACCTGGCACTCCTCCAAGCTTGGCACAGTGAGCCCACCAGCTCAGAGGGTTGATGTTACCATACCCTCATAGTACCAAGAATGGACTGCCCCCCTGAGATATCTGTTTGAGAATCACTGAATTATAAATATAATCCATAGGCCTTGAGACCCAGATTCTAAATACCTAAAGGGGAATCAGAACAAGTCAGCACTAGAAGGGTCTGGGAGCCTGGGTACAGACCAGGGAGGGAAGGAGCTTGTCTTGAACAGAACCAAGATTGAAAGCCAGGTTTTCTGACTCCGGTTCCTGGGTGGGGAGGGTGGAAGACGGTCCAGGTTCCTTTCAATCTGTGGGTAGGGAGGGGACGCAGCTTGAGTAGGGTCTTCATCTGTGAGGCCAAGGGAATATGGAAACCCAAAGGACCCAGCCCTTTCCCAAATAGAAGACCTGGTCCAGGCAGCTTCCTGCCTCTGAGGATCTTGAGGAAAGCACTGAGCTGAGAATAGTCCCCAGCTCATCAAGGAAGCAGAACCCCATGAGCTACAAGAGCTCCCAGCTCACATACAAAGAGAAAGGTACTTGTGTGGCCACACAGGTCCCTTAGGCTTATAACCGCACATCCCTATTAGGACGTAAACAGCTAGATTGAGCAGAACTGGCTCTTCCCCTTGGTGGCTATAGCTGGTGTTTTCCCTGAGTGGTAGATATATGTCATCCGTGTGTCTCGTCTTGCTCACAGTGTGCTCAGGCTTTCCAATGTGCCCACCCACAGCCCCCAAAACCACAGGGCCAGCCATGGGACTTGTTCAACATTCCGAGGGATCCCCATACAGCATTCCCTGGCCCCTCTTGGGGGCCCAGTTATCATCCCCCACCCCTCTGTCACCTGGGGCACTGGCCTGGAGATGGTAGATAGGGCCCTTTTCCTCCCTTCCTGGGACCAGCTCTTACTCAGCCTTCTTCGTAGTTAACTTTTTTTTTTCCTAGGTTCTTTTTGTAAAGGTGATATATGCCTAGAGTAAAGAACTCTAGGCTGGGCGTGGTGGCTCATGCCTGTAATCCCAACACTTTGGGAGTCAGAGGCGGGAGGATCACGGGAGGTCAGGTGTTCTAGACCAGCCTGGCCAACATGGTGAAACCGTGTCTCTACTAAAAATACAAAAATTAGCTAGATGTGGTGGTGAGTGCCTGTAATCCCAGCTACTTGGGAGGCTGAGGCGGGACAATCACTTGAACCTGGGAGGCAGAGGTTCCAGTGAGCCAAGATCACACCATCACACTCCAGCCTGGGCAACGAGAGTGAAACTCCATCTCAAAAGAAAGAACTCTAATGGTTGAAAGTAAGTCTCAACATCTATCCCCAGATCCCTTAGTGCTCCCCCTGGAGGCAACCATGGTTACCAGTTTCTTGGAGAACGTTCCAGTCTATGCATAGACTGCATCTTTCATTCAACAAAGATTGAGTGTATACTATAAGCCAGTGTGGGTCTCTGGATACAGCAGTGACTAAAACAGTGAACAAAGCTTACCTTTTTTTTTTTTTTTTTTTGAGACGGAATTTCGCTCTGGTTACCCAGGCTGGAGTGCAATGGCGTGATCTCAGCTCACCGCAACCTCTGCCTCCTGGGTTCAGGCAATTCTCCTGCCTCAGCCTCCTGAGTAGCTGGGATTACAGGCACGCGCCACCATGCCCAGCTAATTTTTTGTATTTTTAGTAGAGATGGGGTTTCACCATGTTGACCAGGATGGTCTCGATCTCTTGACCTTGTGATCCACCCGCCTCGGCCTCCCAAAGTGCTGGGATTACAGGTGTGAGCCACCGCGCCCGGCAAAGTTTACATTTTAGGGGATAGACAGTATGTATATGTTATTAGGTGATAGGCACCACAGAAAAAAGAAAAAGTCAAAATTGAGCTGGAGGGGGGAGTGGGGGCAGGTCATAGAGGGCCTAAGAATTTGAGCTTTTCTGCTGAGTGAAATGAGGAGCTACTGCAGGATGTTGAGCATGAAATGAGATTTTTTATTTAAAAGGCTCCAGTTGGCTGCTTTGTTGAGAACAGACTTCAGGGGAGCAAAGGTAGGGTACGAGGGACCTATCAGGAGGTAATGGAACAATGTAGGCCAGACATGCTGATGGTCTCGGGCCAGGTCTATAGCAGCAGCAGTAGTGAGGGTGGCTGGATTCCAGATATCTTACTCTTCCTCGTGAGTTAACACACTCTCGACACAGTTCTGCACCTTGCTTCTTTTCCTTTGATAAACCCCGGACAGCATTTGGGATCCCACATCAGTACACTGAGAGCCTGTCCATTCTTTCTTACTGCAGCCTAGTCTACAGTACTCCAGCTGGAGCTTATTTCTTAGCCCTGGTAGCTCAATACGTCTCTGTCTCTCTCTCTGTCTCTCTCTCCCCTCTTTCTCTCTCTCTCTCTCTTTCTCGATGGACTCTCACTCTGTCAGCCAGGCTGGAGTGCAGTGGTGCAATCTCAGCTCACTGCAACCTCTGTCTCCCAGGTTTAAGCAATTTTCCTGCCTTAGCCTCCCAGGTAGCTGGGATTACAGGAGTACACCACCACACCCTGCTAATTTTTGTATTTTTAGTAGAGATGAGTTTTCACCATGTTGGCCAGGCTAGTCTCAAACTCCTGACGTCAAGTGATCCGCCCACCTCAGCCTCCCAAAGTGCTGGGATTACAGGTGTGAGCCACTGCCCAAGGCCTCAGTGCATCTCTTTTTTTTTTTCTTTTTTTTGAGACGGTGTTTCTCTGTTGTTACCCAGACTGAAGTACAATGGCACGATCTCGGCTCACCGCAACCTCCGCCTTCTGGGTTCAAGCAATTCTCCTGCCTCAGCCTCCCGAGTAGCTGGGACTACAGGCACGCACCACCACACCCAGCTAATTTTTGTATTTTTAGTAGAGATGGGGTTTCACCTCATTGACCAGGATGGTCTCGATCTCTTGACCTCGTGATTCACCTGCCTTGGCCTCCCAAAGTGCTGGGATTATAGGCGTCAGTGCATCTCTTTAGACATCCACAAAATGCAGGTCAGTGCTCTTGCGTGGTCTGTTCAGAGGCTCTTACCTGATCCCAGTGATGGAGGGAGTCAGAATTTACCTTTGCATCTGAATCTGGGGCTCCTACTTACTTCCCCCTGCACCCTGCTTGGCCAGCTCCAGCCCTTCCTTCCCTGACTCAGGCCCTGGCCTACTGCCTTCTTTTCCTTTCTTAGGCCTCACTCCCACCAAACTGGGCAGTGCCTGGAGGTGGATCCTGGAGTCTGAGGTCTGGGCCCAAGAGACTTTGCCAGGGGAGGGGAAGTCTGGCAGAGACCACTGGGGAAGTGGTGGGTAGAGGAAGGCGGAGTCCAGGGCTGTGGCCTGTGGTGAGATGGGTGGTGGAAAGCAGGAGGGGGAGTGAGGGGTAGAGACTGCCAGTGGCCCAAGGAGAGTGTCAGAGTGGGAAAGAGGGCTTTGACAGCTGAAAGACTGAGGAGAAGGATGAAGACAGTAACAAAAACCTCAGATACCATTCAGGGAGCACTTTTCACAATACAGAGTGCTTTGAGCCTCACGAAAGTCCACTTCAGCAGTTACCCCTTGTTAACATGAAGGAAATTGGCCCAAAGAGGTGAAATGATTTACCCAAGGACATACACAGTACACTGTAGTAGTCATTTAGCGAACCCAGATTTTCAGATCTCAAATTCGCAGCTTCTCCTAATGAGCCTGCCTTCCTCTTCTGAGCTGGTGTTTGCATGGAGAAGGTGGCCCAAGTGGCTTGGAGGCAGAGCCGTGCAAGCAAAAGCATGGAGGGTACCACGGCCCCACTCTGCACCTGCTCCATGCCACTTCCCACCTCAGCACTATGCTCCCTGCTCTCAGTCCATTTGGAGGTTTCAGCTGTAGCCCTTTCACCTAATCCACAGAGGCTGGGAGGTCTTTCCTGCAGCATGGATCCCCCACTCTATGGCTGTTCCCCCACAAGTATCTCTCCCCAACTAGGGCAACTCAGGTTTTGAGTGTCCAAACTACTCCCTCAGGAACTCGAGTGGAGTGAGGTGGGAGGTAGGTGAAGGAGACAGGGTGCCAAGATATTAGGCTGGCGCAAAAGTAATTGGGGTTTTTGTCATTAAAACCTCACCTACCTCTCGATGCCCCAGTGCCCTCTGATGGCCACAGGAGGTGGGGGAATGGATGGATTAGGAATGGAGACAGGAGGGACCAGCTGAATGTGACCCCTAAATACGAAGGCAAGAGAAGCCTGATATCCAGGATTCCCGGATGATTACAGGACCCTTGTTGGCATTCAAGAAACAGTTGGAGGAGAGGGGTCACAGCCAAGGGGCCAGGGGGTCTGAGGAGCAGCGGGCAATAGCAATGGATATCATAGCAATCTCGGCTCACTGCAACCTCCACCTCTAGGGTTCAAGTGATTCTCCTGCCTCAGACTCCTAAGTAGGTGGGACTATAGGCACGTGCCACGACGCCTGGCTAATTTCTTGTATTTTTTTTTTAGTAGAGACGGGGTTTCAACATGTTAGCCAGGATGGTCTCGATCTCCTGACCTCATGATTCACCGGCCTCGGCCTCCCAAAGTGTTGGGATTACAGGCCTTTGCCACCACGCCTGGCCTTTTTTTTGAGGCAGAGTTTCGCTCTTGTTGCCCAGGCTGGAGTGAAATGGCGCATTCTTAGCTCACCGAAATCTCCACCTGCCAAGTTCAAAAAACTATCCTGCCTGAGCTTCCGGAGTAGCTGGGAGTGTGCCACCATGCCCGGCTAATTTTTGTATTTTTAGTAGAGACGGGATTTCACCGTGTTAGTCGGGCTGGTCTCAAACTCCTGACCTCAGGTGATCCACCCACCTCTGCCTCCCAAAGTACTGGGATTACAGGTGTGAGCCACCGCACCCGGCCTGGGCAATAGGCTCCTATTTACATCACTTGCATGTGAGTTATTTCCCCCCACCCACTTTCTCAGTTACTCTCAGATTCTAGAGTGTTCGCCCGCCTTGGATCGTACATGTTCCACCAGCCATTCTGTGGTCCCAGTTCCTTTCCATCATTCGCCCTCAGCCCTTCACCTATCCCAGCTTCAAAGCAGCGACCCTACCGCCTAGCTGGCTGGGTTCGAGGAGCCAGGGAACCTGCGCCTCCTGGTGGCT